TCAATGAACTGTCCTTCGGGGATAGCACTTGCATTTAATACCTTGTATCTGTTTAGGCCAAGAAAATAAATGATAGAGCTGTTGTCACCAACAAGACGACATCTTGCCTTACTATAGAAATGATGTAGTCTCTGGGTAGTCTAGCAAACATAAACAAGAAATCATATCCATGTCTTCATTCTCTGTGTATCAGAGGGTGTCAAATTTTGGCCTGTCAATACAGAGTCTGCCAAATGTGTTTCTCTTTTCTTCAATTATTATAGAAAGTATAAAGGATTTTTCCATTGAAATAATTAAAATAAATAAAAGAACCTCTTCAGATAATTTGCAGTGAGAGAGTCTGACCTCTGTTTGAAGTCTGCGTAAAGGATCCTGCTTGGGAACCCCTTCCTGCAGATGCGGATCCCTTCCAGCACCCCATTACACCGCAGCTGGTGCAGGACAAGTTCATGCTCCATGGCCCCTAAGAGGAAGAGCACACATGCCTCATTTCATGGTCTAAAGCAAGCATCCTGGAGCTTGTTCAGGCAACAGGTGGGTCTTACCTGGAGTCTTGGTTTCGTTGGGGATGATGCAGCGTACAAAGTGGGGGTGAGTGCTCCTCAGGTTGGTCATCAGCTTATTCAAATTCTCCTGTGGAATTTATGAATATTTGATTTTAAAAAGCACTGTTTCTGTATATTCATATTCACAGACATAATCATTGTGACATCCGTGATATTGGCTCAGTTCTAATAGTATCTAGTTATAGGATCCAATAATATCTAATTCAAATACTATCTGAATAGTATCCAGATTTGAAAATGAGGAGTTGGAATTTCCACATTCTCAAAATGTCCTTCTTTTTCCTGCTTTCGTGCATGATAAACGTATTTTTCTTTTATTCATTGAAGCGGTCACTGCTGCTGAATTCCCTAGCGTGTGTTGTAGCTTGAGTATGATATTCTAAATATAGGGAAACATTCTACCCAGACTCTCTGGTCTAGCTGTGTGATTGAGCTTTACAAATAATTTAGTGTCTTCTTCCAAATCTCTAATTTCTTTCTTTACCCTATTTTCAATTGTATCTGCTTCTCTATCACATTCTTATACCTTATTCTAATTATAGAGCTGTGTCCTCCTGCTCATTCCACAGAAAGTGGCCTTTTAGTGCCTCACTCTGGGAATTGGCAGAACACCAACAGCCATGTTACCAGGTATGGGAAGAAGTCTTCCAACTTGTGGAAATCCTGGTTTTTCAGACTAACTAAAGCTTTCGTTATTACAGATGGGATTGTCCTAAGAAAGGTAAATTTTCCTTTAAGAGCTATTTCTTATTGCATCTGGTTTTTTAATTCCTTTGTTTAGAATCAGTCTCCAATTCCCAGCAGGGATTTTCTGTCATCACTTTCAAAGTCCACTCACTTCAGTTCTGAGCCAGTATACACCTAGGCACGTACATCATTTGGAGGCTCTCACAGTCTCCAGCAAGTCTCATGTTTTGCCTAGTCCTATCCCAGCAGAACCTTTTAAATGTCAATGACCTTATTTCCTGGCCCCCCAATTTAATTTTACCATCTGATGCTGATTTGTGCAATTTACTCTCATCCCTCTTGACACCTTGTCTCCTATATACTGATGTGTCTCTTCCAAACAACCCCGAAGTCTCTAAACTGCTCTACCACCACCCACTGACTTGTCTCTAGAGTCATGTCCAGTTCTGGAATCCTTGCAAGATTACACCCCTTTCCCCACAAATACAGTAAAATTTAAACCCCTGAATCTAATAAGACATAGCAAAGGCATTTCGTACCCTGAAGAGAGCAGACACGGTCTGGAAAGAAGAACCCTTCTTCTTGCCACCTTTCTTGCCACCGCCAGACTCTAAGGGGGGTAGAGAGAGTGCAAGCAATCATGGCACAGGCTTCCTTAGTGTGTATTTGACACATTAAATAAAGGATGACTTCTACTGGAATTTACCTGCTTCAGCAGCTGCTGCCCCAGAGAAGAGGTAAGCCAGAGTCTTCATTGCAGACTTCTGGTACAGCCCGACCACGGTCTCGTTCAGGGGGTCCTTGTTCTTGTCCAGCCAGCCGGCGATGTTGTAGTCCACAGTGCCAGCGTAGTGGACCAGAGAGAAGTGGGCCTCAGCCTTGCCTTTGGCAGGCTTGGGCTTCTGGAAGTTGTTGGACTTCCC